AGACAGAGGTTAATGGTGATCTTTTCTTTTTTTATAAATACCTTAAATAGAGGAGAAATCGTTTCTGGCTTTCGTTAGATTTCTTTGACAATTTTAGAGAGTTTCCTTTATTCTCTTTATTCAAGTAGGCCGTGACCTCCTGTTCCTTTTCTATATTGGATGTTTTTACACGATTAATGGAAATACAGACCATTATAATTACAGAAAGCCTAAGTTACAAATAATTGTTTTTTTAGAACAAAAGACAAACATTTAATTCATTTACTGAAAAGTCAAACTCCAAGTCATAGTTTACAAAAAGGCAACTTAACTGATCCGTCACATTTTAAAATTATTTCTTCCTTTTCACTAACAAAATCAATTACTAGTTTCTAGCCATTCCAAGTCACAGTTTTGATTACTCGACCAAAAACAAAAAAAAAAAAAAAGAAACTTTCGCTTTGAACGTGTGACCACTTGGTAACAGAACAATGTTCAACGTAGCAGTTAACTAAAACACCTACGACAGTTACAGTTTAACAACAATTATAACTTCCACATTTCATAAAAAAATCTATTTCCAAAATATCAAAACAATGCATCAGGAAATAAAATAAATTCAAATAAAAGGTAACTAAGACACTTCATAAACTAGTAAATTCCAAATAAGAACCGCAAACTAATTATTGTAGAAGTATAAATTTATTATACAACGAGAAGTTAAAAGGGTAATAACTAAAGGCTACCTTATTCTCTTCTTCGACAATCGATCTCACAAGCATAAAGCTCAAGGGTTCCATGGAGAAGTGTTGGACACATGCAATCTGCAAATTCCTCGTCAAACTAGACATTAGGAGAAGCCTAATCATAATACAAAACAACATGGGAGAGAATGCCGCATATAACAAACAACAACTCAATGCCAGTTCATTAAGTTTCGCGGTAAAATTGAAGTACCAACCTTCATGGCTCTTATAAAGGATGTTAAAGTACCATCCTGATTTAAGAAGTACTTCCTCAGAAAGATGGCGACCTTGTGACCAATGCTGAACATACAACAATGCCTCAGCAGAACAGCCTCAACAACTGCTTCCATCCTCTCAGTCGGTGATCCTAATACAAACTTGCTAGGGCACAACTGCTGTAGTGCATTTGAACGAAGCACATTTGAAGGAGCATCAATTGTTGTAGCAACTCCCATGATTAAAATAATCGGAATCTTGACAATCCATTCGCTGACGTACGAAAACCATGAATGTACAAAATGAGAGCTTGAAAATAATATATACAAATTGCACACTCAAAAGGCAATAACTTTATGTCATAACAACAGAATGAAGCATAAAATCAAACAACAAACACATCAGCAGCTGGAGACCTTTTGGTAATTCCTAGTTTCTTAGGGTTGGGTGGTCCATCTCCCTCCACTCAACTTGTTGACATTTCCTTTCAACTTAAAAATAGTCATTTTAGATGGGACCTTTAGCTTTCAAGTCCTCGTCCAGAAAAATCCAGAAGTGCTAAACATGTTACCACAAATAGTCAAAGCCTAGTGACAATAGATGAGCAAATGGTGGTCTTTGCTACCCCTTTTGCATAAAAAGTATATCTACGGTTAAGGTGACATGAGTGAATCTCCTAGTCCAAGACATTAGTGTTTTATCCTTTTGATTACTTTATAAATCTTTAATATGGAAATTTCATTATCATTTTTCCTGTTGGAAGATTGTAAATCACTTTAAATTACTTTAGATTTTAAGATACATAATTAAGATGCAAACTTTCATATATTAAAAAGAGAGAACATTCCTTTTATAAATGAAAAATAGGTGACATAAAATCGTCCCATAAAGCATAAAGAGTCGTACATAAGTATAACACAAACATAGTAAGAAGTGAAATGGAAATTGGATATAAGTATGGCTCTTTGAAGTACCTCAACATAATGATGAAATCAGATAAAACTGAACCACAACATCGTTCTATGTCTTCAACAATCACAACTACTGGGTTTTCATAGTACCCTTGTTCTCTGTACCATGATGCTAGGACGAACATGTCAGCAGACTGCTCAAATTCCACAAATGAGAGCAAGTTCATAAAGTTGTTTAATTAAAGAATCCGACATTATTTGGAATATTCACTCTAAAAAACACACGGTACTTACATCAACAGTAACCTTCAACAACTGTCTCAGTAAACTTTTGATGCAGCCGTCTATGCTACTCTTGGCAGATAATTCTTGAGAAGAGAGACTTGCCACATGGCATCTATTAGATTTTAAATGAGAGCCAAGCTCTTCAAACGTCAGTAAATCATCCACAACTTCCATATTCTCTGCAAATTAATCAAGATTCCTTATTCAACAGCAAAACATAAGGAAATGTACAAAGAGTTCTCAAATGCCCTTCAATTGCAAAATGGTTAGAGTTCGTACATCAAATTGAAACTTTGGAATCGGAAACTTACTAGTGAGAACCAACCCTGTGAACAATATTTTACAATCAGCAGGAGTTAAAATAGGAAAAGGCCGAGAAGCTGAAGATGAACTAGGAGTCCCAGATGAACGAATAGCATCAAAGGCCTTATAAACCCAGCGACATATATCATCAAACACTTGAACATTAGTATCCCTCAAAACATCCTGCAAGAGCATAGCCCAACAACTTCTTCAGACACTACTAGAACAAGCAGTTAGAAGACAAATAGTAGCATTTGTAGGCAACCATTAGCATCAACTAAGTGGATAAACAGTGAAATCAAAACGATTGACCTTAATGGTGGTTTCAATTCTCGACCATACAAGCTCGAAAGCTTCCATTCGCAGATGTTCAAGAGTAGAATCATCACGTTCTTCCGTCTCAGGATTCTCGATTCCATTGGGACCAGATGGAGAGAGTTTAGCCTTCTTCCTTAGTTTTCCACATGGATTTGTTTTTCTCGAATTTTTCCGAGATGGTGCCTTATGAAGAACATAGAACGGCTGTCGACAGATGAAGCAAAATCAGTTCCAATTTCTTCAATCTGATTCACACAATTTCTGTAACAGGACATAAAATTTCAAGAGAAAACAAGCAAACCTCGAAATTGGTTTCGATGTTCTCTACTGTTGATGGAAGTGGGAACTCAACTAGAGGTGCAGCCGCAGGCGCCATTTCTGCGTCTCTCCCAATGGCTTGAGGGCTATTTGCCGGACCGTCTTGGCGGGAAACTACGTAGGCTACTTTTCCTTAATTCTTCTGTATTTTGATTCCTTTTAATTGAATTTTGTATGAATAGCCCAGTTTTATTTTGTCGGGTTACGTTATTTAATTAATTATAATGTTATTCTATAATGTACACCACCTTCATACTCTCAATGAACATGACTCTCCTAACGTGTTATTGTCAAATTCGAGCATAAACTCTCGTGATTTTGTTTTGGGTTTTCCCAAAATGTCATATACTAATGAAGTTTATGACTCGCTATAACCTCTGATCATTCTCTAAATTAGTGAATGTGGACTTTCATCATCCAACACATAGATTTGCACGTTAGTGTAATGAGTGTAACAGTAATTTAAAAATTACTTTCATCCTTTTAAAACTTTAATCTCAGCCAAATATATCACAGTAAATTATATTTCAATTGCATTTGATCTTTAAAAAATAAAAAAATAAAATAAAATAAATTGGTTCGGTGGTAAATTTCAATAAACTAAGATTGGATCGAGTAAAAACCATTTTACCAAATTAAAGTGATTATATTCTTAAAATTTAAAAAATAATAATCTTTTAGTGTTATATATCATCTGAAAATTGCTTGTATTAAATGAAATAATGCTGTTGTATTTGCAGATTCAACTAATGTAATATTAACTCAATTAATGGGTACAACTCCCCTATAAAAAATAATTCTCTAAACTGTTTTAGCAAAACAAATTGCGTGCTTGATTGAAATGTCATTGAATGTATCCATTGTTATTCGAGTTGAACGAAACTCGATTAGATATTAAAAATATGATAAGTAAATGGAGAATAGAGAACACAGGATTTTAGAAGGGATTACTTCTACCCGCTCGCTTCCATGGAACAATATCGTGGCAACGTAGACCTAAGTGGTTCATATTCCCGGTCTTCGATGCCATAAAAATTCCTTTACTTATTATTATGTCGAAATAATAAAATAATTAATAATTTTTTATCCCGTTCGTTAAAGATCCCTATGCTTGGTTTCAATTTTTTTCGGTTTATAAGAACCGTAAAGTTATTCAAATCAACACCCGATACAAGAAAATTAAGGAAAATTACACTAAACTCAAGTCTAATTACTCCCAAATCATCACAATCAAGTTTAAAAGTCAAACCAATAACTCTTCTTCTAAGAGCTATCAATTAGAAGCATGTTTCTCTCACAATCTGCCAATATTGCTATTTGCCCCATAAGCTCAAAACCTTTGAGGCCAATTTGGTGTCAACTCCCGTGGATACATGCAACTCTCCACAATAATATCATATTGTCCACTATGGGGCTTTCCCAAAAGGTCTCATACCAATGAAGATGTATTACTTTACTTATTTATCCACGATCATTCCCTATATTAGCCAAGGTGAGACTCACTCCTAACAATGCTCAACCGTTCTTTCATCTAGCAAGTAGGGCATCAAGATATTGTATGAACTCCTAAACTATGATACTCTGATACTCTGATACTCTGTTAAAAAGGTCCGTCATGCTCCAACAAGTTCATCTATATCACCAAATTTGATCCTGTAACTTTCTGAACACAGTCATAAACTCAGCTATATCATCAAACTTGACCTACTCTAAGTTCATAACCCTCTTTCACTTACTTTCAAACTTCACATTAACGAAAATTTCAAGCCATTACAATCATAGACCCATATAAATGGTTAAAATTCCGTACTTCTATGACGGTTTTCACACCTGTAATCAGGAGAGAACAAATGTTTTAATTGATTCAATCTACAACGTGCAGCTCTTACTGGGCAAGAATCATAATTGAACATGAACTACTTGGAAATTGAAACACCAAAAATGTTTCACTGCCTCAGTGTCGCTTTAGCAACATTTGTTATAAGTTTGAAATAAACAAATCGCAAAGAAAGACCATTTCTATAGCTATAAGAGAGGATAATGTATTTCAAGTACCTTTACATGGACTTCCCATTTATGCACCACCATATGTATTGATACTACAAACAAATGCTGCCAAACTACATCAGTAACTATCCAGGGAGAAGAGAACACGGATACTGTGGAACTTGATCACACAACCTCGACATCTTCAATCTACGGTCCTTGGTAACTCTTTCTTCGTTTTGTGTCGACATGGAATCACCATCCCTTCCAACCTCATCATTTCTCCTCAAACTCGACATCAATGACGTTGGGTTGTGACTTCGAACCAGAACCACCTTTTCTGTTTTCTCCTTGACCTTTAGGCTGCCACACTATGTTTCCACAGCCTGTGCAAGAAATAATTTGGTTCTTGTACCCAGCAAACTCCCTATTACAGGCCGGACATGTACCCTGAAAAGTTATTTAAACATCATTTAAGTAAAATAAATACAACAAAGAACAATTAGATTACGAGTGTAGTCCTAAACATGTAAAGTATCATCAATTTTAGTAATTTTTAAAAGGTATGTCAGGTGGCTTCTTTAGCAAGATTAATTTCAAGCGTTTGCACAAGTTGAACAATAACCAGCAAAATAGTCGCAGAAAGTTGATAAGGTAATAATAATTGCAGAATACACAATCTCACGCATACGGCAGTAAAGGATGAGCATAGAAAAATACCTTTATTATGAGGCTATTGGCAAAAGTCCCAATGAGCAGCGGACCAGCAAATGGTAGTATCCATGTTGCAAATATTAAGACTCGGAAAAGCCATCCAGACAGTGCAAACCAAAGGAAGAATATTGTCTACAGGAAAATGAAAAGGTGAATTGACTACACGACACAGGAAATGTATCTCAAATGCTCTTTGAAGATCATGTTTAGAAATTTGAAGATCATGTCGGCAAAAGTCCCAATGAGCAGTGGACCAGAAAATGTATTCACCTTGATTAGAAATTTCTAATATGTTTGAAGATTCAACCTTGATTAGAAATTTGAAGATCATAAGATAAGTATCTCAAATGCTCCAACCTCAAATTCTCTAGACTTCATTGAGCATTTCCTAAGATAGCTAGTTATGAATTTTTGTATTATTCTATTTTCTTTTCATTATAGTCAATTAGAGAGAATTTTGCACTTTCTTCGGTTGTTCTATAGACAGTTAGTCTTCCCTCCTTTCTAAATCATTCCATGTTAAATCACTAAAGAAAATCATGTTTCTCTAAACAAAATCTATCAATTCAATAATCAAACTGATAAGTAGGCTATAAATGCTAATTATACTCAAATCGATAATACTTTTACCAACATTGCGTAACTTCTTGGGATTTGCATGTATAGTATTGATCAGAGTAGATTACAAGTAAATACCAAACCATATACAACACAACTTGCCATATTGTGGACTTGAGGGAATGGACACTCCTCACTTGTCCAACCAATGATCTTGAAGAGTGACATATTAACTATTTCAACCACAAAAGTACTTTTTTTTAAAAGAAGAGACAAATTTTATTGATGAATTAAGGACAAGAGCTTAGTGGGCTCCTAAACCACTGAGTACCAACATAAGTACTTACGCTAAGATGAACAATCTACACTTCAACCAACTATATCAACTTACCCTTGTATGCAAGCCCTTCAAACAATCAAACATATTCACAATTCTTTTAGCATATTGAATGAAGCCCCCATAATTTTCACCTATTGCTGCCACACTGTCCTTTCACTAAAACATCAAAGGTAATCCAAAAAGCTTTATCCAACCCCCATAGTGTGGATTTCCATCTTTCAAACTTAAGGAAACCCCCACAAAAATTCAGCCTTTCTTCAACAAAGTTCTTCAGAGTTCTTGACAATCCCTTAAAGCGCATGCAAATCTCAAAAAATGGATTGAGCATACGACCTTCATAAATTGTCTTCCTCAGGGCTTCCAAGAAGACAATCTAATCCTAGTGGAACTTACAACACCTATGGAATTTTCCCAATCAATTTGAGCGAACTCAAAATTCTTCTTCCCCCTCATTTTCCCTTTTAAACTCAGCCAATTCCTGTACTTTGCATTCTTCCTTTCTCCATTGAATTTTTCTCCCTCCAAAATGAAATTCTCCCCCTTCAAATCCATTCTTTCCCTTGATTTCTTCCCTTCCCTTGCTAAAATCTCATTCTGATATTAGCTCGAACCTTATACTAATTAATAATTGTGCAAGAGAATTTTCCACCTCATTTTCCCCTCTTGCAACCAAGTTCTTCCACCCAAGAAAAAACTATCTAATTCTTCCTATCTAACGCCTCAACGTATGAGGTTACCCAACAATGCCCAAAAAATACGATCAAACCACCTTCGTTAACCCCAGTTGGAACCAAGATATATCTCCAGACACATTAATTGGCAAAAGCCGTAACTACCACATATTCCATTATGATTTGAGAATTTCCCCACCCAAAAAGTTCCTTCAACAAAACTTCCTTGAAGAACTTGATGTTCAATGGACGTTGAAGAAGTTTCAGAAGTCTTTGTTCCAACCAAAGAAAATACTCCAAATAAAATCTAATGTAAAAAAGTTAGCCAAAAAAATCAAAATCTAATATTGAAAAAAAGAAATTTTTTTTCTTCTTTTCTTCTAACTTAATCAAGAACCCATGAAATATCAACTAGACTGATAGAAAAAGACTTGTTTCCTACAGCTAGTAAAATCCATGGTACTCATAAGATAAAAGTTCATTTTCAAACGGGAGAAGACCCACCATTTTCTAGTTAGTCAGATTTTAGTAAATGTATTTAGCTTCTAATAACACTACAGAACCATGTGTCCACAAACTTAAAAACAAATTTTGAAATTCAACCTTGATTAAAAATTTGAAGAGAGAGCCACAAAAGAACAATCTCAAATGCTCCAACTTCTGAAATCATCTTGATACTTGGGAAGAAGAAATTACTCATGCTTTTAAAGCCACTTATTTGGAAGATTTGTAATTTAAAGAATCTGGTAAGAAGGTGAAGAATCTTATTTGTGACTGCATCTCTTTGGATAACTAATTCTAGATCTTTGAAATTATCCAGTAAGTTGGGGAACATTTTGTAATCTCCTCAATTTCTCTTTTGGTGGATACTGGATTCCTAGTACTCCCTCCTTCGAACATCTTCTATGTTAATAGTTAACATAAAGCATTTATAGTACTGCTGAGAGTTGATTATAAGTAATTCTTACGACGTAGATTATAAAGCTTGACATATGCCTGACCTAAGGTACAGGATAGATCCCCCATTTAGCTACTGTAACATAAAACAAATAAAAGAAAATTAATTATAAGAACTAGGATAGTGAAAGTATAGTGAGTAGGAGAATTTTGCATATTCTTTTTAAACTATGACTTTCAAGTTACTCGTTTTCGTTGATCTTCAAGAAAATTTCTACACTGGCCCTTGTTCTTTTCTTTAAAATATCAAGTGAAGAGACGTCATATTATTGCCACTCTAAGAACAAACTAAACAGAGACCACAAGTGACACCAGTAATCTTACTGACAAGAACACTATCTAAAATAAAAGCTATACTTATGCGTACCACAAAACCTTTTCCTAATGGCGTGTCCATAAATTCATTAAGTTGCCTCCGATACTGCACATATCAAGGGAAATAAGAGTGAGTAATAAAGAATGGCAATGACATTATAAAACAAAACAGATAAGAAAACAACAAAATTCAATAGAAATTTTAAAGATAAGACACCCGATATTAAGACATTCAAGGAGAAGAAAACGCTATGATTTTCATTCTACTTTAGTGGAAACTGGTAAATTATAAGTATCAATGCAGCAAGCATTGAAACTCGGACTGACTGCTAATCTTATAGAGCATTAATTAAGATCGAATCCGTCAGACAACTTCAAAACTTCACTTCCACAATAGATATCAATTAAGCAGGCCCTATCTACACACATTCATTTCACAAGCACGAATACCAATCAATCCAATGTACAAACCCTTGGCCAATTTCTGCTAAAATCCAATGTAAAATTACGCCAACGCAATCCAATTCCAAACTCCCTATCAATCTCGCGCGCCCGGTCAGCCGCCGATTGGGCAACAGAACTAACACGGCGCGATACAGAATAACGCCTGTCAAGTCGCTCCGCAGTTTTCCTCGCCTCGAACACGAATTTTTCGAAGCCGTCGTTGGCGCCACGCCATACTTTGTCCCAGGTCTCGCCAAAACCATCGTTGTTGCCACCGCCGCGACGGTAGGCCTGAACGAAGCCAACACTTCTCCGCAAAGGGATTACTAAGGGCCTCGTCCTCGTCAGTCTCAGAGGAGCTCGAAGCGGTGGCTGCCATGGCGGCAGAGTTGTTGAAGCTATCATCCCAAGTTGTAATTGCTGGCGCTTGGATTTTCGCTTCCTCTACTGCCAATTATAGCTTGCGCGAAAAAAAGGTCTCTACCGTTGAGGCAGGCTCGCGCTGCGGTCAGAAATGTTTTTATTTTTTAATTTTATTTTAAATATTAAAAATAAACTTAAATCACCTTTTATTTTGAGAAATTACATTTTTGTTCATTCATTAAAGGATGCATTTTTTTTAATCTTATTTTAATAAATATTTATATATATTTATTAATGTTATTCTAATATACACGTATATAAAATATTAAAATTAGGCCGAATTAATAAAAATACTCGTAATCTTTACTTTTATCTTAAAAATATTTTTAAAATTTAAGCAATACTCTCTAATTTAAAAAAAAAAAAACAAGATGATGTTTTTTTTTTAATTTATATGGTTATTTTTTAGTAAATATATATTTTTTAATTAAAAGGTATTAATAAATTTTTATAAAGTTTAAAGGTATTTTTAAAACAGTTACGAAAGTTCGAGAATATTTTTGAAACTATTAATAGTTTTAAATTTTTTTTAAATCAATAATATTATTGAAATTTTTTAAAATTTAAAATTATTTTATAGACTAAAGTATAAAATTGAGAGTATTTTTATTAATTTAACCTTAAAATTATTATCAGTATTTATTTATTGTCGAAGTATACTTTTTAAATCATACCTTATATTTTTTTGTACATTAATATCAATTTGAATCTTATTTTAACGAAAAATATCCGAAATATTATAATTTCAACGTTCGAGAATAAAAACGGAGGACATAACTGAAATTTAACCCCCCGAACTTTATAAAGAGCTCCAAACGACGACGTTTCCAGTAAGCTGTAAAGCTTAATCTGGAAATTCTAGAAGCATCCAAGGGTGACTTTCTCTACCTTTTAGTCGCCTTACAGAGCTCGAATTACTCTGAATTGTATAATATAAACATATACATACAAACATACATACATACATACATACATACATACATACATACATACATACATACATATATATATGGCAAAAACCTGGAGGGAAACAGGGTTGAGGTGGCGGGCTCTGGAATTCGATCGAGTAGATTTTCCCGCGCTCCATCGTTAGATAACCCCAGATCGATTTAGCGTACTGTCCAGTTCCAGTAACCAGAAAATCATCGTAATCCGCTACCACTTTTCGGCCATCGGTAGCCGCCAGTGATTTCCACAAGTCTTGAACTTCAATTTCCAGTATTCGTAAGTGGATTTTGTTTCCCAGCCATGGATTCATCGAAAGAAAGAGTTGCTCCCGTTTTTCTTGAGCGTTCTTCTCGGTCGACTAGAGGAAAGAGGTACCGGACTACTTGGCTACCTTTTCTTTTCTTTTTTTAGGGATGGATTTATTGTGGACTGGTGACTTACTGATGCAAGATGTTTCAAATTGTATGGATTTGTGAATGGGGTATTTTAATGGCTACAGGATGACTAAATTGCTTGATGAGGAAATTGAAGAAGACGAGTTGTTTTGGAATCAGGATGCTCTTAAAGAGGTATTTCTCGAGTATCTTTTTCCCTTCTTTTGAACGATATGGGGTTTTACTCTAATTTTTCTTTGATTTCGGTGGTTAATGGCGAAATCATTACTGCAATTATGAGATGTTGTTCCGTTTCTCCCCCATTTCGTATACACGCGGTTGCTTTTAGGTTATAAAAGTTCAATTTCGTAGATTTTGCTGAAATTTATCAGTGTATACATCCACTTAGATTTGGTTATACATTTGGATTTCCGTCTTGCAATGCCATTGTCTGGATGATGGGGCTTTGGTTTTGACTGAATCAAATACTTTCCTGAACTTGTCAATCCTCGAAATTTGTTGCAGGAGGAGGTTGATGATGAATACGAGGAAGATCCTGAGATTGTGGATGAACATGATAGTGATTTCAGTGAAGATGTGAGTTCTGTTTCAATTCCTTTTCACGACATATTTCTGGTCGGCCATAAAAAGTTTTTCACAACATGGCTTCCTTTTTATGGACAGGACTCTGAACCAGAGGAAGAAGCTGAGAATGAAGCAGATGAGAGGTTTGCTATTCTCTGAAGTGCTTGGCTGTTGTATTAGATATATCTGTTTTCTGTTTTAAAATTATGTTTTCTTATAGAACACAAACAAAGAAGCGATTAGTATCTCCCGGAAAGACTTCTTCCAAGGACAATAATAAAAAGAGAGCTGTTTCCAAAATTGAGGAATCATCCAAAGATGAAGCATCAACCGATCACTCTACGCCTCCTGAACATCACGATACACCAGACGATACTGAAGTTGAGAGAACAGAGAAGAAGTCCACTAGAACTTCAGCTGTTGTTAGAGAAGCTGAGAGGGATGTTATTCGTAGCCACAATGAAGGTGAGTCCTGAATACTTGAATATTTGATTTGTAGGATGAAGACCAAACGTTGTTCATTAGAGTAGCTTGAGTTTTTCTTGAAGGCAGTTTCTTGATTGAATAGGGTGATGCTATGATGAAGTGGGAACACTTCATTTTGGTTCATATATCCTTAAGCTTCTTGAAAAACTTTCATGATCCTATGGATTCTTTAGTCAGCCATTATTCTTTTCATGTCAATGACTAATCATTTCAATCTTTAGATCCATTCTGTGTCCAAGAAGAACACCAAAAATACAAAACAAAATCTTTTGAGTTACCCAGAATGAGTTTGTTCAGGAGTAACTTTAAATTTTATGACACCCAAAATTTGGTTCTCCGTCCGTTTGGTTGTAGTGGTGTCTGGGGACATAAAATCTGTAATGGTTCATGATTCAAGCCCACCGGCAAATATTGTCCTCTTTGAATTTTTTCCTTTCAGGCTTCCCCTCAAGGTTTTTTAAAATGTGTTTGCTAAGGAGGGGTTTCCACACCCTTATAAAGAATGTTTCGTTCTCTCTCCCAACCGATTTATCTCACAAAATCTGTTTTTTTTTTTTTTTTTTTTTTTTTTTTTTTTTTTTTTTTTTTTTTTTTTTTTTTTTTTTTT